GAATCATCAATTAATATATAAAACTTAACTAATTTGAGCTAATTTAAATTTTAACCTTAACCCTGACCTTAATAAGTTATAAAATTATTTAAATTAGTTCAAAATACTTAATTTATATATATTATAATTATATTATAATTATATATACCCACCTATACTAAAGATCAACTATTTTTTTAAAAATTTTTATGAAAAAAATCAAAATTTTAAATATCTCCAAATTCATTATGTAAAGTTTTTAGCACTTAATTTTGCATATACAGTATATATATATATGCCCTCTAACCCTAATCCTAATACTATCTCGAACCCTAACCCTAACCAATATAATTTTTATTTTTTTTAAATATTAACCTGCGATATAACAACCTGCTATATTTTTAATAGCTCACTTCTATTAAGAATAGGATTTAGTTTATATTTGCAACATGGTTCATATATTGTATTTTTTTACTTTTGTACGCCAAAACGGGCAATATTATGTTATAAACGAATTTACACGTAGAGATCATACTATCATATTTCAAGTTCTCGGTCCTGACTACATCGCTGGTGTCATTTTATCCGATATATTCTTTTCAAATGATAGCGGTTAGTATTTCTTCGTTTTAACAGTTGCTCAAAGAGCAGTCAGAGTAACAATTAACAAAGATCTGTCATAATTATAAATTATATTTTTTAAAATTAATATTAAGATTCAACTTAAGTGCAGCATAGATTGGGTTAAACTTCAGCCTATAATTTGAAAAAAAAGACTATTTATTGTATATCAGGTTTGTTTTTATTTAACAAAAAGGATTCGTGGCATTTATTTTTTAGAACTGTATTCTTAAATAAAAGTTAAATGCGATTGATAACCTATTTGTAAACCATAAATCAAAAGAAATATGAGAACAGTGGTTCAGTTGAATGACTATCAACAACTTTAAATGAAATGTAAAAAAATACCTCATGATTTTAATTATAGAATAAGTTGTTATACATGTATAAAAAATATAAAAAGAGAACATAATAATTGTCGGGGATGATGCTGAAATCGGATGATGCTGAAATTTGGGTCTTAATTTGAAAATATAAACCCTACTAAAACCCACCTATACTCTTTTATTATAAACACTAACCCTAACTTCTAATCGAACTATGAAAAAAAAACACCCCAAAAAATTTTAATTTTTCATAATAAAATAAGTCAAAGTTTCAGCATCATCCCCGACAATAATTAATGGGTGCGTTATCTATAAGATTGTTATTTTGCATAATGTATCCAGTATCGGTACGTGCTTGATAAGAAAAGGGATAGATTTCTTGAAAAGCGGGGATATTTTGTTCCTTATAGGAATCAGAATAAATAGTAAACTCGTTAATATTATCTGGCTGTTGTGGATA